TAGATACAATTAAAACAAAGACATAAATAATTATTTGTAATATGTCAGCTGTGAAAAAGATCACAGGCAAAGTTATCTTTAACCATCACTACAACTGCTGACTTCTCAATTCTGGGCATACAGTCCCAACATTCAGTTCTCTCAGGATACAATTTAAAGTCTTTTTCCAACAGTTTCTAGCCTAGTTCTCTCAGGAAATGAATCATCTTGGTCTTTTTTCCTCTGTTCTCTCTTCAGTCATTATAGCTAACAATCTCTTCAGAAGAACATTTAAATTCTCAATCACCTTGTAGACTCCATATAGATTGACTGCTAAACTATTCTTGTCCAAGATTTTAATGCCTCTTAATGATATAGGAACAGTATCTATAGTCTCTATGGGAGAGAAGACTGAGGCTGGTGTTGCACATTTATGTATGTTCATTTCCTCCAATAGAATGTAAGAACAGGGATTGTTTGATTTTTCATCTTTGTCTAGTACCCAGAATAGGTTTGGCATACAGAAGGCACTTAATAAATGTTCATTAATTAATTGATGATTAAACAGGCATGCAGTACAGCTTGTCCAAAGATGAAATGTCTTTTGTAGGGAACAGTAAATAGGCCAATTTGGTTACAACACAGAATGTGTTAAAGGGAATTATGTGAAATATGTCTGGAAACATAACATGGAGTTAGTCAGAAAAGGGATTCAAATGACATATGGTAGAGTTTATATTTTAGCCTGTAGGCTACAGTCCAACTTCCTCATATTACAGAGAAGGAAACTGAGGCCAAGCGAGATTAAGTGACTTGCCCAGGATCATAGAGATAATACGCATCAGAGACAGTATTTGAAATTAGATCTTCTGACTCCAGAGTCAGTATTCTTTCTCAAATGAAGCTTCTTGAGTGAAACAGTCAAATATATCATTTAGGAATATCACTTTGTCAGCTCTCTGGAGGTTGGATTTGAAAGGGGAGAGGCATGGAGAACAATGAAGAGATCATTACAATAATGATGATAAGGCCCTGAGAAAATGTAGTAGCTGTGTGAGTGGAGAGAAAGGGATGGATGTTGTAGAAGCCGATTAGACAAGCACTAGCAAGTGAATAGATGCAAGTATAGGAGAGTGAAGAGGGAAAATGACTGAAATTGTAATCTTGAGTAACTGGAAAGTTGATCATACACTCCACAGAAACAAGGAAGTGAGGAGGAAGTGTGTGTTTGAGGGGAAAGTCAATGACTTCTGTTTTGGATATGTCGAGTTTGAGATACGGGATGTCCAGGTAGAGAAGCCATGCAGGCAATTGGAGATGTGGGCCTGGCACTTAGAAGAAGAATGAGGACTGGGATATGTAGATTTGAGAATTGTCTGCATAAACATGACTGAACTGAAGGCAACTGATGACATCACTTAGAGCAAAGAATGCCCAGGACAGAGCAGAACATGCATGGTGATCCAGTAAACGAGACTGAGGAGAAGTCACACAGGAAGAAGCACTAGTTATGAAAACGATGCAAAGAGAGAGTAACAAGGAAGTGTGTCAACAATACCAAATCTTGCTGAGAAGTTAAGAAAGATTAGGACTGAGAAAAGGTTACTGGAACTAGTAGTTAAGAGATTGTTAATAACCTTGGAGAGAACAGTTTCATTCAAGTGGTGAGGTCAGAAGCCAGATTACAATGGGCTGAGAAGTGACTGGTAAGTAAAGTAGAGATAACAAGGATAGATAGCTTTTTCTAAGGATTTGACTGTGAAAGGGAAAAGATATGACTAGAGGGCATAGAAGGGTTAAGTAAAGGTTTTTTTTTAAGGCTGGGGAAGATCTGAATGTATTTGTAGGTAGGAGGAAAGGAGTCAGTGGATAAAGAGAAATTGAAGGAGAGAGGGTGTTTGAAGAGCGCAAGCTCTTTGGGGAACCAAGAACAGATGGGATCAAGGGCACAAGTAGAAAGCTTGGCCTTAATAAAGAGAATAAACACTTTTTTTCTCAGGGAGTAGCACAAAGGAGGAAAGAATGAAGGAAAATTTTGAGGGAATATGAGTTGTAGAACTGAGAAGAGGGAGCTTTAAATGGCCAGACAAATTATTTTTTCACCAAATTTTGAAGTAAGCTCCTCTGATGGAGGTGGGAAGGTATGCAGGGGTGGGGAACCTGCAGCCTCTAGGCACAATTTAATCTCCCAAGTATGAGGACTGACTGAATTGGAGAAGAAAACTGTAGCCAGGTGATGAATTCCTTGAGAAAGAAGGGAGGGAATTTCTGGATCATATGATCAGCTAGATAGAGGACTAGATATTTTCTTTGATTCTCACAATCACTCAGAGGTCTCCAACACAGAAATTATGCACCAAAGATACAGCAACTTCAGCTACCTGCATGGTCTAGACCACTAGAAATGGAAAAGAAGGTTTAAAAAAAACCCCAACAACTCCATGATCCAATAATACCTACCTTGGGCTCACTCAGCACTCCCTCCCTCACCTCCCACCATGCTACTGGCAACAAAGCTGCACTAGCTGATCTGATGCACAGAATTGTGACAAAACCTAATCACATGTTCTGGTCCTTCCTCCCTCTTCACAGTGCCTTGGAGAACCAGGCTCCAGGCTGTGGAAATTTTCTGGGGCTTCAGTAACCAGCTCTTTGGAAGCAATCTGTGTAGCAAAAGATCGCTGTATGAGAGTGGACAACAGAAGAAATGGGGTGGATCAAATGTCTTGTCTTGCAAATCACATCAAAGAAACAAACAAAGGACAACTGATTACAAAAGCAAATACACAGAAGTGAAGGAAAATCTAGAAGAAGAAAAGCAAAAAGCAATAACGTTAAAAGAAAACATGCTCTTGAATTCAAGCAAAATGTATTGATTGAAGACAGGATGTGTAGAAACAAACTAAAAAATTATAGGTCTCCCAGAAGAACATGACAAGAAATTAAAAAAAAGTACCCTAATCCATAATCCAAGAAATGATACCAGGAAACTTCCCAGAACTTCTGAACAGAGAAAAGACCAATAGAAAGAATGCCTCCAGAAAAAAACCCAAGGCCACAAATTTCAAGATGCATAATGGTAATATTTAACAATTTACTTCAGAAACAACAAATTCTGTAAGTGAGCAGGAGAAAGACTTTCAAATACAAAGGAAAGGAAATGTGAACAACACAAGACTGGCACCCATCAGAAAACTAAGGAGAGAATAGGATAATGTGTTCTGAAGATCAATGGCAATGAAGATGTAGCTCAGGTGACCTGGAAATCTGAGCTTACCCATAAAAGGAAAAAGATGGATGTTCAATAATAAAGAGGCATTCAAGACATCAAAAGAAAGCTACACCTGAAGAGGTTATTTGCTCCTTGAAAACCCTAGGCAACAGAAATTGACTTATCCATAGTCACTAATATGTGTTAAGAGTCAGAGCTTGAGCATAGTTTTACTGACTCCAAAGTCAGTAAAAAAGTCCAAAGTTTCCCACCCTGGCTAAATAACCAATAATATATCACGTAGAAAACAAAAATATATATGTATATATACACATATATATAAGAAAAAGATAACACAAAAAAACTTCAAATCTTATGCCATATGAAGATGTGTCTTCTAGTTATCATTATGTTTTCTTATAAAACTTATATGAAGGGCAGGGGAAGAAGAAGTGACAAAAGTGAGTTCTGAATACTTTGGGGATACATTTTCCAGAGAAGAACTGCTTTGATTACATCTTAATTCAATAGTTTATTTCAAGTTAAAGTTTCTTTTGTAATTTCTGATTAGAAGAGTGTAATTTTTAAAGTCATAGTAATTTTTTGAAAGAAAGAATACAACTGTTTAGAAAGTTGTTGAATTCCTCAGTAAAACCTCTTCAGTGGAAAGGATTCAAATGTAGCAAACTACTTTGTTTCACAAAGTTAAACACATGTTATGAACTCAAATTTATTTAAAATTAAACTCACTTTGTTTTGATATGAAAACCGAGATTCTATTAAGTCTAGGAAATAATTTCAAGATAATGATATGAAAATGACTACTGATTCACTTGTTTTGATTCAGGCAAAAAATAAAACTTCTCACACGGGGTTATTTCTAAAGACAAGAACTTGCTTATATAATAATAAAGAATAGCATGTTGTAGTTAAAAGACCACTGGACTGAGAGCCAGGGAGCTTGAGTCTTAGTTGCAGCTCTGACACTGAATAGCTGTTTGAACAAGATACCTCTCTGGGTCTCAGTTTCCTCATTTGTAAAATAAGGAGAATGAACTAGATGTCCACTAAACTCTCTTCCAGTTCCCTATGATCCTACAATTTTTATTCTCCAGATAGAATTTAAGTTCTTAAGGGGCAAGAGCTATTTTGTATTTATTTTTGTATCCCCAATGTCTAAAATAGGGCTTTGCATATAGTTGGAATGTAATGAATGTTATTGTATTGAAAAACATTGTCTAGTTCCATGACTGTGAAAAATCTAATAATTTCCAAAGTGGGAAATTTTGGGAATATGTAATGATTTGAAGTGAAAAAAAAATCTTTGGGGGCCAACATAATTCCACTAGGAGCTAATTTGAAAGATGAAGATGATTTTTATGCCAAAGATATAAAAACTAGAACTAAATCAACAGAGCATTGTTTTTGTTTTTTAGGCAATTGGGGTTAAGTGCCTTGCCCAGGGTCATACAGCTAATAAGTGTCAAGTGTTCAGTCTGAGGCTGGATTTGAACTCAGGCCCTCCTGACTTCAGGGCCCGTGCTCTATCCACTGCTCCACCTAGCTGCCCGAGAGCATTGTTATAGATATAATTTCCTTATTTCCAAAGAAATCTGCTTCCTGTAATACACAACTTAGCAGAAATCAACCTTTTTTTTTTTTTAGCAATTGCTACCAATTAAAAGATGATTAATTGAAAATATCAAATATAATCATGTTGCCATAATTAAATAACAAATATTTATTGCTCACATACTATGTACGAGATATTGTACCTTAATTTTAAAGTCAGAAAGTAATAAACACTTACCATTAACAGCTTTCTCGTAGTTTTTCCCTAGGTTTATTAAGTTCCGTAGCCCAGGATTGAACTGCTCCACTACATTCTGATAAACAAATAAATAAAAATCAGTTAAAAAGTAAACTAAGTACATGCATAGATTTTTACGTGTGAATTGACTGAATGTAACCGAGGACCCTAGACTATGTATGTACAAGTATAACTACTACCAATTAGAAAGTAAAGGGTATTGGTTTAAAAATAATTAATAGCATTTACTTTCTCACTTGGTTGAATAAGGGCACTTTTATTTGTCATGCTGTATGTAGCACTGGCACATTTCCAGGTGCCTAAGGGCTGGGTATGACCTACTACTATAAATGGTGTGCTTTTCAGACACTCAAGTCATTTATGTGAAGGTGTAACTCATATTGAGTACAGGTCCCTAAGGTTAAGGTTCTGTTTTGGTGTTTAAGCAAGTCAGGGGTTATAGTTCCAGTACAAAAAAAAAAAGAGACCAATCATTAGCTAACTTACTTGTTTGGTTGTGTTTAGTTCTACTGGCATAGAAACTGCTAAATCCTTTGGCTTTTATTATAGTGGAAAAGCTTTAAAAAAAAAATCCCAAAAAACTATGTCCTGTTTCACCCTTTAAAACATATGCCATCATGAAATGATACTTTTTTTTCCCAGATTGTCAATGGTATTTTTTGCCCTGTTCTAACAGAGCCAACACAGATGTTATAATCATAATTTCAAAAATGTCTACATCTACAACACAGATGGAGGTAGTGCTAAGACAAGTACAATGTTGATATTTTCTTAAATATAACCCTAAAATTACAATGGGGGGGGTCAGAAGTATAGAAAATATGAGGTTTTAAATGACACTATTGTTTTATACTCTAATTTCTTGATCAAAAACATTTAGTGTTTTTGTGACATAATTTTTCCATAGAATTTGCCTATTTATGTAAATTTCAAAGATTTTGCCTACAATTACCACATGCACATACCCAGAGTAATCAATTTCTGCCACAGAAAGGTGGAAATACTTCTTAAAGTATTTTGAAGATCATCTTCTTGACTATCCCTTGTATATTTTCTCCTAACAACCCTGAGTGATTAAGAATATTTATAAATATATATTAAACATTCCAAATTAAGCCATTTGATACTATTTATTACTCTAGTTTGGATGTATTTCATCTCTCTAGATGTCCAGACGGGGAAAAAAATGCAGGGGAGGGAGATGAGTGAGAAAAAATATCCAACACTCATAGAGCTAGATCTTCCATACATTTTTCTTTTCAGGATAAGATGAACCCTTCAGTAGAAGTTTGAATAAGAAATGCAGTCCAATATATATTTTTTATTTATTACTTTAAAATAATACATCAGTATTCTCACAAGTGAGAATTTCCTCAGAGGTAGTATTTAATCTTATAATATTCTTAATAGGCAGCTAGGTGACTCAGTGGATATAGTGCTGTGCCTGGAGTCAGGAAGACTTGAGTTGAAATCAAGCCTCAGACTAGCTGTATGACCCTGGGAAAGTCACTTAACCTGTTTGCTTAATCCACTGGAGAAGGAAATGGCAAACCACTCCAGTACCTTTGCCAAGAAACTCCCATAGACAGTACAGTCCATGGGGTCACAAAGAGTTGGACACAGCTGAACAACAACAATAATATTCTTGCTAGGTGGGTAGGTGAAACAAGGATTTTCCTCATTTTTTTTTGTAGCTATGGAAACTGAGGCTCAGTTTAAGAAACATGTACAACATCATATAATTAGAAACAGAAACACCTTGAGGGTAGGGACCATGCCTTAATAAAGCTTTTGCTAGGAGTGGTGAAGCATGCTTATAATCTCTGCAACTGGGAAGGCTGAGGCTGGGGGACTGCTTGAGCTTGGCAATTGGAGCTGCAGTGGGCTAAGGCAATGGGGTGTCTGCATAAGTCCAGTACCAACACGTTGAACCCCTAGGAGCAGCAGGGCTACCAGGCTGCCTAAGGAGGGGTAAACAAGCCAAGGTCAGAAAACAGAGCAGGGCAGGGCTATGTTTCTATGCCAATCAATAGTGGAATTGACCAGTGAGTGGTGCTGGAAAGATAGGGAGACGTAATCTTAAAGAAAAGCACTACCACTACACCACCACAATGCTTTGAATCTCCACCAGTACATAGCTCAATGTTCTGCATAGTGCTCATTATATTACAGAAGTCCAATTTGTCCTTTTTTCATTACATGATGCAGACTGCTCTTCAAATGACTTCCCAAATAAAGGAAAGATTGTTACTTGAAGCTTTTATATTCCTGTGAAAATAGTACTTTGAGGCAGATTGATGCAATGGAAGAAACATTAGCTAGATTGGGTACCAGAAGACCTGGACTCTTATCTCCAGCTCTACTGCTAACTTATGATGTGATCTTGGGCAAGCCAATTCACTTTTTTGGGACTCAGTTTCTTCCTCTATGAAATGATACAAAGTGATTCATTCCAGTACTAAGATTCTCTAGTTATATGAAATTTTGAGCTCAAGCTAAATTATTGAAAACTTGTTCAAGTAAAATAACTTAGCTAGGATCAGATGATTTTTTTCAATAAAATTAGTCTAAACATAATTTTTTCAGAGTAGCAACACAATGAGGTTGGAAGAAAATAGTTCAGAAGGGCCTGAAAGCTTAATGTGTATACTTTAGATTTTCACTATTTAAGGTCCAATTATAGAATCAAATTTAAAAAGAAACTTAGTAATCCTGGCCTCTTTGAGAGTGGAAAATCCATTTCTCTAGCTACTCTTGGCTATTAATCCAATTATTTTGGCTGCAGCACATTCAGTTTGGAACTCAGCAATAAACAAGTGCTTCTACCTTCCTCTTGTAACCCATAGAACTCTATAGTCCTAATATACTTATGAACTGAATAGATCCCCAAGTTGGAAGAGAAATAAATACAAGTAAAAACAGTATAATGTAGAACAGGAACTCCTATTTCAGTAGCTCAGCACTTAGGTAGTATTGGCAATGGTAGTTTACAAAGTTTAAATTGTTGAAATTTTACAGTTCAGAGGTATATTAGTCACAGAGAACAAACTGATTTCAAGAAAGGAATTTGGCTCAATGATTAAAGTGATCATGAGATACTGGGGTAAATTTAAGGGGGATTATTATTATTTTAAAATAGAGGATGCCCAAATCATTTTGGTTCAACAATAACTAATTGCTATACATCCTACCATCCGTTGCTTGGAGAGTAATTCCATTTGCTGTGCCAGTTTAAACCAGAATAGGTTACACACCCTCTTAGAGGGGAACATGGGCATGGTGTAGCTATGGTTACAAAATAACAAATTTGAGGGCTGGTTGATGGTGGGGAAAAGCAGGATATTCATGTACCCTACCTGAAACTTCTCCTTTTACTCAAAGGATGTTTACCTCACCCCTCAAAACTTAAGAGGATTTTTAAAAAGGGGTGGTGATGGAGAAACTGTTTCATTGCTTGAAATGATTCCTTCCTTTTTTGATTTTCACTTTATATTTTATGCTTAAAATTCTCAACATTGTACTAGAGAATTAGTGGCAATCCCTTTTTTCCCTCTATTATTTTCAAAATAAATATTGATAAATGAAGACTATTAGGAAGCTGTATTTCTACTAGGTTTTTAGGCTAGTCACATGAAGCCATAAATTTTATGCCATTCTCTGTAGAGCTTAACATCTTTTAAAGCAGAATAAATGCAGCCGTTTGATTTTTCTTAGCTTTATTTATCTTTTAAAGTAAAAGCTTTCTGCTATCACAACATGAAATTACTGAAATATGAAATACATAATTTACCACTTGAAACTATGTTCAAGAGAGTTACACTTAGTAAGCATCGGGCTTGCTTCATATGCCCTGTGGCAAAGACTAACACATACTAAAGTCCCTGCCATATACTCTAAAGCTAAACTAGTTAGTTTTTCCCTTAAAAAAAAGTGGGGAAAAGTAGTAAAATTGTCCTTGAGAGCTAACTTGTCTAGAGAACTAAGGCTGTGCCCATTGATGTACCTTCTGGTGGTCTAAGTACAAAAGTCATCTTAAGAGGCGTCTGGAGCTCCTCTTTCAGCTTTACCAGTGTGCCAGCATGGCCAATATAGGCAGGGAAGCTGTGGCCAACTGATGCAACTCTGTATCCTTGCTGAATATGCTGTCTATACTATAGTTAAGTAAACTTCCTTTTGTTAACTGCTGAGTGGTCTATGAATATCTTGTGTTGTTTTCAGTCTTGTCTGATTCTTCATGAAGCCATTTGGGGGTCTTCTTGGCAGATACTGGAGTGGTTTGCCATTTCCTTCTCCAGCTCATTTTATAGATGAGGAAACTAAAGCAAACAGGGTTAAGTGACTTGCCCAAGGTCACACAGGTAGTGTGATTTGGCAGATTTGAACTCAGGTCTTCCTGACTCTAAGCCCAGTACTCTCTCTATCCATGGTACCTAGCTGCCCCCTATGAATATCTTGCTTCATTTCAATCTTGAATATGAACCTTCAGACTACCCTCTGTCAGTCTTGATCTACATTTTCAATATCTGAGTTCTCTTTCCTTTTCTAACACTAACTCTCCATGACTAACATTTTACTTGATCTGTCAATATCATGAGTTTTGTATTGCAAAATTTAGACTTAAGTTGAAGAAAATAAGGAAAACCATCAGACTGTATAGGTAAGACCTAAATAACATCTCTTATGAATATGAAGTGGAAATGATGAATAGATTTAAGGGATTGGATTTGGTAGATAGAGTGTCTGAAGAACTACAGACAGAGGTTTGAAATAGTGCACAGGAAGCAGCAACAAATAACATCTCAAAAAGAAAAGCGAGAAAGCAAAATGGCTGTCTGATGAATTTTTTACAAATAGCTGAGGAAAGAAAACAAAAGGCAAAGAAGAAAGAGAAATATATATTCAACTGAATGCAGCATTCCAGAGAAATAGCAAGGAGAGATAAGGTTTTCTTAAATGAGTAATGCAAAGAAATAATACAAAATAATAGAATGGGAAAGACAAGAGATATCGTCAAGAAAATTAGAGATAACAAGGGAAAGTTTCATGTAAAATGAG